AGGAAGGAAATCCCCCGCCCCTAAAAAACCCGGTTTTTTGAGGAAGCCCCCCCCCCCCCCCCCCTCGGGGGTGTTCTTCTCCCTTCCCACCTTTCACCCTTTGCCCCGCCCTTTTTAATTTTCGGGCCGGGACCCCCCCGCCCCTTGGAAAGACGCCACCCGCCACCCGCCCACCTTTTCCTTTTCCCCCCCCCCCTCCCCCCCCAAAGGTTTTTGAGTGCCTTTACTCGGGGCAGCTCACGCATGGGCCGCCTTTCCAGACCGGGGACCCTTTTTTACACACACACCTCCCCTCCCTAGCCCGCTCCCACCCTGGCCCCCCCCCCCCCCCCCTCCACCCCCACTCAGGCTTCTTCTACGACTCGTTCCTCGGCAGCAACTCGTACCGGCCTGAGATGAATGAGGCTTCTCTCTCCCTCCCCCTCTCCCTCTCCCTCTCCCCCTCTTGCTCCCCCCCTCCCCCCCACCCCCCGCCCGCCCTTGCCCCCTTAGGCTGACCCTCCTCCCTCCCCCCCACAGGAGCTCGAGAAGCGCGTCAAGAAGATCTGCGACGCCAAGCAGCCCTTCGAGCGCGTCGTCGTCACCAAGGCCGAGGCCGAGGCCCTCTTCGCTCAAAACCCATTCAAGCTCGCAATCATCAAGGCCAAGCTGCCCGACGGCGCCGCGACCACAGTCTACCGATCGGGCACCGCAGCCGCCCTTGGCCGCGGGCGTCTGCCCCTGACATGTCCACGACACGTCCCGGCCGTGCCCCCCCCCCCCTCTCCTCCAGGCCCCTTTGTCGACCTCTGCCGTGGCCCACACCTCCCAAACACGGGCAAGGTCAAGGCCTTCGCCGTCACGAAGACGTCGGCCGCGCTCTGGCTCGGCAAGGCGGGCAACGACGAGCTGCAGCGCGTGTACGGCGTCTCCTTCCCCGACAAGAAGGAGTTCGCCGAGTGGAAGGCGCTGCAGGAGGAGGCCAAGAAGCGCGACCACCGCGCGATCGGCATCAAGCAGGAGCTCTTCTTCTTCGACGACCTCTCGCCCGGGTCGTGCTTCTTCCAGCCGCTCGGCGGTCGGCTGTACAACAAGCTCGTCGAGCTCATCCGCGGCCAGCTGTGGCTCCGAGGCTACGAGGAGGTCATCACGCCGAACATGCACAACCTCAAGCTGTGATGAGTACTTTAATTAACTGATTATAAGTTATTAAACAGGTCATCACGCCGAACATGTACAACCTCAAGCTGTGGCAGACCTCTGGCCACGCGACCAAGTACCCCGGGAGAAC